TATATATATATATATATATATATATATTCTTACAAATATATATTTATTTATACATTCAAATATTTCACAAAATTTTATACCGGCACGTATCAAATTATCATATTGTCACGAAATCATTTAGTCAAATATTCACGTATAAATTTACCTTGGGTAATAACCAGGATCTGGTTATCACAATTATATATATATATATATATGTATATTATTTATTTCAACTAAAGCGGTAGTTCATAATTTCTTATTTCCTAACTATGTTTATAATCTAAGTTGTTTTTTTATGTTAATATGTAATATTTTGGACGTCAAGTCAAAATACAATTACTCGATAAGTTTTGTATATTACTCAATATCTTTTGATACACATGACTTTTAAGTTTTTTTGGATTTAATTGAACTTTTTTGGTTTTAGGTTATTAGTTCTTATATGATTTTGTGGGTTTTTTTGTATTAAATTAAATTCATTTTGGTTTTAGGTTTATTGAATTTTTTTGAGATTTAAACATTAATGATCTCTCACATATATGATTTAAAATAACTTATATAAACGAAAGAAAAAAAATCTCTTTTTCCCCGTTGGGGATGGAGATGAAGATGTGATTATATTCCCCGGCAGGGATGGAGACGGGAATATAAATAAGTAGACGGGGACGGGGATTGAGGTCCCCGCCCCATTCCCATGCCTAGCATTTATCGTACAGAAATGCCAGTAATGTTAAAGGTATGTTAACTAATGATGGTATCAATAATGAACTTTTTAACGGTATAACTTGTAAAATTAAAATACGTATTTTTAGAATATTTTAGCTAATAATTAATTAATATGATAAACATAAATATAAAAAATAAAAAAGATAAATGAAGTAAATTAAAAACAATCTTTGAAGGTCAAAAAAATGTAATTTATTTCACCCTAGAAAACCCTTATGATTTCACATTTAATAACCTAAAAATATTGTACTTAAAACCCTAATTTTTTTGTGATTTCACAAACAACTATCTATATACTATATTATAAAGTATTTGACAAAAACTTTTAAAAACCATTTTTTATACATGAGGTACTGTTGATTGATGCATATTACTTAAAATTTATAATTACAAGTAAATTATGCATAAGTACAACTTATTAAACTTTCATGATTGAATACACGCATTCGTGTAACTACAGATAAATATAATAAAAACAAGGATAGACATTTCATTTTAAATATACAAAATCTAATTTATACTATAAAATATTTGACAAAAACTCTGAAAAATCATTTTTATGCATGAAATATTGTTTATTGATACGTTTGATATAAAATTCAAGATTACAAGTAAACTGTGCGTAAGTACAATTTATTAAAGTTCTATCTTTAGATTGGTGTAAATACAGATAAATATAATCAAATTAAGGATGAACATCTCATATTAAATATAAATCGTCTAAAATATAATTAAGATAATCATTAAGTTCTAAAAAAATATTTAATTATTATTTTTATAAAAAATATATTATTAAACAAAAATAAATTACTTCGTTATCAAACCTAAATTAGATTCTAATTAAAAAAAATTAAAGAAATTACACCAAAGAGCGGAAAACTTTTAGATTGTTAATTTGGTACTAATATTGATATTTTTTTTCAAAATTTTAAGATATTGAGATGTATCTTGCTGTATTATATAAGTACCTTCTAATATCCTAAAAGGCAGGTCGGGGTCTTTTTTTAAGAAAACGTATTACTTCACGCATTCAATTTAAACCATAAAAAATTAGTTAAAAAAATAAAATCTAATATAAATTAAAGAGTAAATTGTGGATTTTGTCCTTGTGCTATTCAAGTTCTTTTGTCATGGTCCTTCTGACTAATGCTTCCGTTAACTCCGTTATCAAAGACAATTTTAGTATTTTTGTTTATTATTTTGTCTTTTTCCTATAAAAAATAAAAATAATTTTTTATACGTATAAATATATATAACTTTTGATTCATGTCTCATTCTTACCAAATAAGATTTTTGATCATTATCATATTTATTGATTAAAATAATGTGAATTGGTATCCGCTTATCCAAGTAAGTGTATTATAAACAAACCCTAAAAGATAAAGCCCTCGAAGACCAAAAATATCTGCCGCAGATATTATCACATACTCTTCGTCCTTTCTGACGTGGCATACAGCTGATGTTCATGCCACGTGTAAAAGCGTCGCCATGTGTGTATACTGTTGTTCAAGCGACCGCCTCTGTCTCTCTCTCTCTCTCCCCCCGCCGTAGAAGCTTCTCTAACGGAATCTTCTGAGGGATCGCCTGAATTTGAAATTACCTTTAAAAAATAGACGAAAATGGAAGAGAGTCGCCGGCGTGATTCATCATCGCTACCGGTGTTAACAGATCTCACCGTGGATGAAAATTTTGGACCGTCGAGTCCGTCGGACTCGGACTCGTACTCATCTTTGATTGTTGAGAATTCCAAAGGAAGGTTGCAACAAATTGAAGATTCAGCGAAGGTAACTGCCGTTTTGTTAAACTTGTTTCGTCTCGTTTTCATCAATCTACTTATGCTTCGGTAGTGGTGTATACGTTATTTTACAGGAATTAGTATATTAGATTTAGCTAACTAAACTGATAGATGTATATATCTCCGATGTGATTTACCTTTATGTTCCCTTTTGTATCGTTGATTGGAGATTTTTTTTTTTTTTTTTTTGTCAAGGCCCTACCACACCCGGGAATGAAAATTTTACCACTGGGAAAATCCAAGTGGGGTATTTGCTTTTAGTTAAAGTAATAGATTTTGGTAGAAAAGAGTAAACGTGATATAGGTTTCGATATATAGATGTGCAGGCATCTTGGATTAGTTGATTTTAAATGTGGTGTTTGGTTTAGAAAACATGGGAATTAGGAGATTTGGCCAAATGTCCAGTCATGGATGTAAGAACATAAACCATTGCTTCTATGTGCTACATGACTTTAGTGCCTGGATCTTGCACTGTTGAAAGAGCAAAAGGTTTCTAGAAATGATAATGGGAACAGATTTGGGGATTGGCTAGTACATCTCAGATCTTGAGGGTTTGTGCTATTTAATCAATGGTATGGAACTGCATTTGTGGGTTGTAAAGGCTGTATCTATTGCTAGTGAAAGGTAACGTAATGGTAAGTAAACGTAGCCTACATATCATGGTGTTGGCTTCCAAATAGACTGTTAAACTGTGGAATACTAATAGCATAGACAAGTTGGATCATTGTTCTTAGACTTAGTCGGAAACCTGTCTGTAGATCTCACTGGATACAAGAGTACACTTAGTTAATTAAGTCTCTCTCCGTTTGCTTACTAATATACCCTATTCAGATGATATAAGGAGACTCAAAAATAAATTCATAGAAGAAATTCCTTTAATTATATATTTTTTACTTAGTTCCAATTGGATTAGGCAAACATTCAAGGTAGGATTTCACCGAATGAAAATGGTTCTAGTTTTCGATGTTTTTTGTTTTCATGTGCTGATTTGAGACCGGCCATGTAGCAAAAAAGACATGGCTTATTTTGTTGGCTGGTGAAGCAAGAATTCTTGGAAGTTTGAGCTTTCTTTATGAATGCATTGAATATACATCTATATGAAAAACTCATTTCTAAATATCTTACTTTCTGTTGATCTATTTATGGGAATTTTGACATTCTTAAATCAATCAAGATCAACTAAGCACTGACTTCAACTTGCCGAACAATTCATTCAGCAGGCTACACACGATATCAGCATCTTAACTGCATATAATCCAAGTTCTCTTTCCCCATCCCAAGTATTTCCAACTACTTGGAACCCTCCCCCCACCCCACCCCCAAGAGGGAGGGGGGCGGTGCGGCAAGTTTAAGTGAAGATTACACATATAAGGAAGTACTCAATGACATGTCTTGTATCTGTAAAACAGCCCATCCGAAAATTTATAGCCTTTTTTCTGTTTATATTGTGGTAGACAATGATCAAGGAATACATAGATAATGTTTGATCATTGGTACGATGATGTCAAAGAACCATTCTGCTGCTAGCAAATGTGATTGTCGGACAGTCTCCATGAAATGACCAACTACTCTTACAGCATGACGCCGAACCGAGTTGATGTCCGTGAAATCATGGACTACTCACCAGTCACCATACTTCTGGAATAGGGTTTATTTGTCAGAACACTTGTTACTTCTTTCCTTCACCCAAAAACGTTCTTATTTTGGATAAAAGTGACCGGTTCCATCGTGAAAGACTTTGATTTGTTACACTTGCCCATTTTAACATAATTGCATCAAATTTTTGTGTGGAATTGGGAGTTTCTTTCCTGTTACACGTGTTGAGATCTAGTTTCTCAGATTTGCTGAATCATAAGTTATCTCTTGGTTGTTCCCTGCATATGTTTAAATCTAATATGCATCGTTCAGATGTATTTTTCTGATTTAAAAATTTACATACAAGGTATTCATGTGAATATAGATTTTCATGTGTTATGCCCTTATCAACTTGTAGATACTCGTTGTAAAACCCTTGAAAGCATTGGAGACCTTGGTTAAAACTGTTCTGCTGTTTTTCACCTTATGAAGTCAAAGAACTTTTCGCAAAAGAAGGGTGAAACCAATTTATCAAACATGGTAACAGTGTTAGCTCTACACCTAGGCTCCCCGCCTCTCCTCTAGTTGATATATCTTAGTATTTCAAGCTACTTAAAATGCTATTGGTCATTGTTAAGGGCTTGTTCCTTTTACAAAAACTGTTAAAAAAAATTCTATTCATGTTTGCAAAAACAATGTTCTCTTCTTACATATCCCTTCTTTATTGTTGCCTATGCATGATGTCAATACCAATTTGTGATTGGTCAACTGTTTTGTGCCAGGATTGTCTCACAGCATGGACAGATGAGAAGCATGATATGTATCTTGATCATCTGGAATCATCATTTGTTGAGCAGTTGCATCAGTCTATAGGCGTACTTGCTTGGTGCTCAGAGCATGACTCAAAGGGTCCTTATTTTTCTCAAAAGCTGCATGCTAAAACTAGAAATACTTCTCAGATGGTGAGCCTGTTAACGACATAAGAAAAATGTATTTCCAGTTATCACTCAATCTTTTTTGGACCTTAGCAAACCCTGATGCAATGGAATGGTCGTTCCATACCGACTTGTAGATCATGGGTTCTGCTTATCGATAAATTTCTCCATCTGGCAGAAGTGAGGCTGCATACATTAGGCCCTTTTTCTTTCTCTGTCATTGTGCAAGCCTGTACACTGGGGGTGCCCTTTTGTTGCACTGACACCTCACATGCATGATTTATTTCCTACCAAAAACTTTTTGTATATTTCATGTGTACTTTCTCTCTCCAGCTTAAAATGATACAAGATGACTGCTCGGAGAAGATTGACCTCAAGAGAAGCCAGCCTCTATTGAACTGTACATCTGATTCTCTTGTTCTTCTGAAAAGCCGTCCTAGGTGTGCAGGCAAACAACGTTTTGCAAGAGCAGCCAAACTGCAGGATAGCAGCGCTTCTAGGAATTTGTGCATAGAAGACAAGCTTCTTTTCAATGAGGCAGGAATATGCTCAGAGCAGATCGCTGCAAGGCATGGGAAACCGGTTGACTGTGCTGGAGGTGATTATTACAATAACAGGCGGTGTCCTTAAATCTTATTTTGGCTTTGCTTGTAGTTTCCTTATTTAGCTTCTCTTGTTTAGCCTTTGTGTCTAAAATGTTTGCATGCATAAGATCTTGCAGTAAATATTAGTCGCTACCTTAACACTGGGCCTATTTAGTGGTGGATAAAGTTCAGAACGACATTGGCCATAAATAGACTGGGGATTAGTTCATCTGTCAACTTGTGTATATCTAGGTGGGGGTCCAGAATATGGAAAATAATAAACATTATCTAGCAGAAGTAGCAGAAACTGATAGAACTGCTATAAGTTTTTTCTTTGCGTTGTTTTTAATGCTGTCTTTCATGATGAGCATTATATATATGTCAATGTATTTCTGTTTCTCTTTTCCCCAAATTGAAAAGGAATCATTACCTTTAGGAGTCTGGACCTCAGTTCCAATTTCAGTATTACTTGTCCATATTAACATTGACACTAACATTTGTTTAATTTCTATATTCATGGTTCAGAGTGCTGGTTCTTTTTTCTGTAACGACCGGTTAATATCTGAGAAATAAATTTACTTAAACTTGCATAAATTCGTATGCATCACAATATATGGCAAGAATAAGTTTTCTTGTTTATCATTTAATGCTTGGTTTTTCCGTTGTTACAGTGTTCTAAAAAAATGCATCCGTCAATTGGTGTTTCTTAGGAATTTTACTTGCATATTTTCTAAGTTTGTCAGATGTCATTTAATGCTTGGTTCTCTCGCCAAGGTGGAAAAGTTGATTCATCAATTGATGTTTCTTGTAATAACATACTTGCATATTTTCCGTTGTATCAAACATTGTTTTTGAAATGCTTCCCATTCTGCAGACTATTCCTCCTGGAAGTTCTAAGTTACACATCAATTCTAATGTGAATTTGTCTTCTTATCGTTGAATTTCAAGTTCATTGTTATTCGATGTTGGTGTTCATATTCATGGCAATAGTGTTATCATGACATATTGTCGACATGGTATATAACAGACCAATCTGATTTGATAAAACGACAACTGGTGCATGCCACTATGTCAACTTTGTCAACTTTGATTGGTTGGATCATGTCAGCAGGATGGCATGGTATAATCATTGTAATGAACATGTTTCTCCTACTTTTCCTTGAATTCATGACATATGTAGTTCTCGACTCGTGAACCTTCTGTCTGGAGTATCACATGCACCTTGGACTCTATTATACTACAGCAGAGCTTTAATGTTGATCACAAAGTATGGTTTTACAATCACATTTGACAACAGTAAAGCCTGTTTGTAATACCAATTTGCTATCCATGGGGAGAGCATTGGAGCTACTCATAAGGTTAGAGGGTCATGGGTTTGAGTCGCGGAAGCAACCTCTTTGCAAATGCAAGGAAAAGACTTACCAGATCCTCGCATAAACTGTATTATGTAATTGCTTAGGAATAGGCAAACTAGGGAATGCTGTAACTTATAGGATTAAATACTGTTATCAAATTTGGATTCTCTGAATTCACATGTGAACTGATTTATACTCGGGATTTAGAATTTTCCTCTCGTTAAGGTAGATATTGCTGTATATTTTGTGGGCTAAATAGGAAATCATCAGCTAATATTAGCTTTGACTCATGCTTGTCATTGGAAAGAAAACTCGGTTAGTGCAGGATCAGCTTCATTACAACTGAAACTGTATATATGGCATTAGAGTCCTAAACTTTTCACCATTCAAGATTTTCATTTTCTGGGACTCATTTATACGGGTAGAGAATAAATAGATATATGATTATGGGTCCCATTTACTTGATCCGATGATAATTTAAGATATAACACACAAATGAAAATATCAAACAGTAAAAACCAACGTGCCTGTTTCGTTGTTCTTTCATTTAGCTCTGTATATGATTAAGCTGTCTGTATGGATTAAGCTCAGTTGCTTGTTTATTATTATCATCTCATTCACAGAACATCTGAATGATCTTGCAGAATTCTCAGATCAAAACTTTGCAGATGAAGCTAGTAGTGAGCAGATGTGTATAACAACAATGTCAAAGCGGTCAAAGACCATCGTATCAGAAGTTTGAAGCAAAGATCCAGTAAAATATTATCTTCAGACTGTTTTATATCAGTTAGCGAAAACGGTATAATCATTATACTCTTTGCATGCTCTTTGTGGTCTTCAGATATTGCCATGTGGAGATTCGGAATGCGGATGTGAATACATACACAACAAAATGTCACACCATCACTAGTTTCTTTAGAGAAATCTAAGCTCTCCTTGTCTCATAAAATCTTTAACCCCGAAATACACCATTTAGATTCGGATACATACTGAATTTGGTGAAATTTTTGCCCTTTTGCCCCCAAACATAGGCATCACCTTAGGGTAGAGGAAATATCTGCATACATATACTTCCAAACCCTACTCTGAGTGGAATATTTTGGTACGTTTAGTTTGGTTATATACAAGTAGTGGGACTACAACCCTGTTCTAAGTGGGATATACCGGGTACGTTTGGTTTGATTACATACAAGTAGTGGGACTAAAACTCCGGGATCCAATGCTTTCGCAATCAAAATCCATATGAAGTTGTCGGTGGGTGTCATCTCAACGAAAGATGTGTTGCATGAGGAGATGATGATTTTGTAGAAGTTGCATGAAACAGGTATTTGATTCCTTTGAATTGGTATCGATTGTATTCGGGGTTTTTTGTGTTTCATATTATACAGCTTGTTCAAAATCGCGCACTCTCATAATATGTTGTTTTTTTTCTACGTATCTCGTATTTTTACTATTAGAAGCCAAATCCGAACATTTTGTTTTAGTTGTTCTGTACATTTTCGCTTATTTGAACCGATACAAAACTATATCCATGGAGAGTGCTGGTAATTTGTATCTAAGAGGCTGTTTGGCAGTTGTTGAATGATTTGGTACAAAATGATTAAGATGTTCACATGATATAGTTCAAAATGAAATATAATTGTTTGGTAAATGTGTACAATGAAATTAGGGCGCTGAATGGTTAAGGGAGACATATGATACAAAATCATTCAGAGGGTTTTGGAACCATTAAGAGGCAGACTCTTTTTTCTGCCAAACAAGATTTACCTCTTAACGATTCAGAACATGCTTCTTAATAGAACTATTAAGAGGTAACAAACTTTTGATTCTTCCTATTGTGTACTGATTTTTCTTAATGAACGGGTTTTGAGCTTATTTAACATTCGCTGATTTTGATGTGACTTTTTGTTACTTAATCAATAATCGCTAAATAACTTGATAATTTGATGTACCGGTTAAAATGGATATAAAATAGGAAGAATTTGACAGTGTTACACTAATTGAGAAAAAAATATTTGTTATATAGTAACGGATATTAATTCTCGGCAATCTCAGCTAGCTTTTGCTTGGTTGACGTAACCGTAGTCTTGTTTATCTTTGGGTTTCGGGTTGGTTTGTCTGCTCCTTGAGTTGGAGTTGCAAGGATGGTTCATTTTCGGTGGTGTTTCTTTCTTTGCTTCGGGTTCTATTTTTGTTTAGGTTGTGTATTTCTCTGGCTTTTATGGGCTTGTTTGTTTCTGATTCTTGCAAACCGTAGAAACTTTTGTCCTAATAACTTATTGTTTGTTTTGTTCTTTTAATCAGGGTTGTCCCTTAGCATGTTAAATGTGAGATTTTGAACAAGACCCTCGAAATTTTGAGGCCCAGATTTACATGTGTTTAGGGTCTTTTTAGCCACATGTGTAAAACTATAGCCGAAATTATTTAGGTTCAAATCATTAATTATTTGGTTTTAAGTGTAAATCATTAATGGTTTAGGTTTAGTTTTAGATTGTTAATCGTCCTAAGGTTTAGCCCATTTTTATTATTAATATATATTCTCTGTCATCTCATTTATGCAATGTATTCAAAAGTTTTGAATGTAGCAAGGTCTCCAAAAAGATTGGAACATCCCTGTTTTTAATCCATCTGTCTTCTAAAAAGAATTAAGACAAGCTTCATTAGATTTTGTTCATTACTTTTACTAATAAATTTGGTATTTTGGTTATTTATGGCATTTAAATGCATTAGTATCCAAAAACATGATTTTCATCCAAGAATTAAAGTAAGTTATGTTTTCCGTCCTCCTGGTTTGTTAAAAATTACGGATTTTGTCCTTGTGGTTTTAAAATTTCGGTTTTCTTTCTCATGGTTTGTAATTCATTTATATTTTTATCCCTAAAGCCAAAAAATTACTTTTAAAATTGAAGGACTAAAATATAAATAAGTTATAAAATATAGGGACGAAAAAACAATAAATTTTAAATTAAAAGAACAGAAAAATGAATTATAAATTACTAGAAGCGTACTCGCGCAATGCAGCGAGATACATCGTGTTTTTAATATTTCATTTTATTCTTTATCTTAGTCGATGTTATAATATGGCTTT